CATGACTTCTACCGCAATAGGCGAATCAGATGAGAGTCAAGGGAGAAATTCGGCGACGGCAGCAAAGGAGGAGTATCGGTGGTACCGCCATGGGAGAGGATTTATGTAAAAACTAAATCGAAATAGAATGAAATAAATGCCATCCAGCTACCACTTCTCGCCTGCCAATTTCAAGCTCCACTCCTCTGGCCAATTCCGGCTTCCGCGTTTCACCCAAAGCTTTAACCAATTTCAAGATTTATGGATTCTTCGAGTTTTGGGTTTCTAGAGGTCAAATCAAGTTGCCACAAAGGCTAGGGAATTAGGAGAAAGACGAATGCTAAATCTCTCATTGTGACTTCTACCGCAGTAGGCGAATCAGATGAGAGTCAAGGGAGAAATTCGACGGCGGAAGCAACGGAGAAGTACCGGTGGTACCACCGCGGGAGAGGATTTCTGTAAAAAAACTATATTGAAATAGAATGAAAAAAATGTGTAAGGACCAGGAGAGCATTATTGAATTGTAACTAAGACCACAGATTAGGGGTGTGTGTAATTGGTCAATAAGGGTTGTATAAATAGATACGGATCTATCTGTAACGACACTTTTGACTTAATACGACTACTCTCTCTCTCTCTCTCTCTCTATATATATATATATATGGTGGCGTATTAGGTGCACCCACTTTTTTGGGTGCATTCAATGCACTCGCCTCATAATTATCATTTCGAGAAGGCAATTCATGTGAAAACTATATCAGTCATCACTTGTGGTTTGATGAACAAGAAACACATGAATTTGTACAAAAATCATTGAATATTTACTTTAATTTGAATGATTTAGGGTTTAGGAATTTAGGGGTAGTGTTAGGGTTTACAATTTGGGATTTTGGGTTGGAATTCAAAATTGAAGGTTAAGGGGTTATGATAATGGATTGATTAGTTGTGATTCTATATTATATCATCATATTAGAGTAATGTTACCCATTAAAATTCAAAATTAGATGTATTATTACCACTTTTAGAGTTGACTGCCCTAAATGCACCCAAAAAAGTGAGTGTACCAAAGTAGCCTCCTATATATCTCTACTTGAGTAACACACTTTCCCTCCAACCCCAACTACTTCCTGCAACAAGCTAAACAGAGATTGCCATAGTTTTTTCGTCGAGTTTTGGAGATCCTTCACCCAAGCTGCGACAACTTGGTATCAGATACCTTTCTCAATCGAATGGAAACAATGACAATGCACATGGAGGAGAAGCTCACAAAGTTCACTAATCGTACCATCGCCTTCGAAACATAGATCCAACAAATCAGCGATCACTTGCACACCATTGATGAACACACGACGATGACTAGCAAACGTTTTCATACTCACGAGACTTAGTTACACGATATATCGTAAAAGGTAGATGGTCCTTCTCTTCAGATGGCCAATTTGAAAACTTGGATTGATGGTTTAGACGGCTGCTTTGATGAGGTTCTCCATCGTCTGGCCGAGTTAGCTCAACAAAGGCCATCGGTCTTTGTTGCCAAGGCACAAGCTCCGCTGGTAGCTCGAAACGAGGACTGATGCATTTTACCTTCACCAGTTCTTCATCCTCCTCGTCAGCCTCTGGAACACGAAGTGGGGTGCATCATGATCCAATGGAGGGGAATCATGTTGTCAATTCCTCACCATCAACAATGTGTTCTTTAGGCTCACTTCGGTATAACCTGTTTGATTTCCACTTCCTCACTTCGGTTTTCTGTATTTTAATGGGTATACTCCTCACATATGCACTCGGAACCACAAGAAATTGCTCGAGATCTATGATATTCCACAATACCAGAAATTTATTCTAGCTTTGATTTACTTCGATCGACGGTCAGATATTTGGTTTGAGGGCTAAAAGACTAGCCGAGTGGAGTTGGTGTGGGAGAAATTCGTGCTTGACTTGTGTAATAGGTTTAGTGATTGGTCACTGGGGGCATTGTTGGTACATTTAATAAACTCCACCAGTGAGGTTCCTTGATCAATTATCAAGAGAAATTTGAGGGCTAAAAGTCCCCAATGATATGTACAATCCTGCCCTGATCGAAGAATATTTCATCTCTAGCTACGTTAGTAGATTGGAAAAAGAGTTACCGCTAGTGATTTTGATGTGGAAACCACAGTCTCTGGCTCATGCCTTTCAGCTGTCCCGTTTGGAAGAGGTTTCTAATGAGGCTCGCCGGAAGAAGCTCCAAGGTCCACTGCCTTGTCCTACTAGAGGTTTCGCTCTAGGGGCTTTTTCATCCAATAAAAATGTTGAAAATGGGAGTGACACGCTAAAACACAACATCAAACTGCGACCAAGTGTAATCGCAGTCCGGAAATGCAGTAAGTGGCAAGCTCGATTTGTCAACCCAGGGCCTATATCTACTGCCTACTCTGTGATTATTTATTATCTAGCAAACTAAGTCGATTGATTGTGGTTTTAACTAAAAGCAGTAAGAAAGCAGGAAATGGTTCAGTTTTCTAAAGCAAGGGAAGAGTCACTCGGGAATGAGTCCCCCTAGCTCCTTAGTTAGGTCACAGTTGTAATTACTTTTGGTTGCTTTAATGTTGATTATACTGCGGATGATCCGACAGTAGCTTGGAATCTCTTAAGCTAACCAAGCCCTCTCAGTCAAACTACCCGACAGACGACTAGTCTTCACCGGAATAGAAAGCTGAGGCTATGAACACAGAACTCCACTACTGGAACTGAATTCCAGTACAAAGCAGTGAATCGACTAACTCTCGTATAATCGATTCACTACTACCGATTAAAGAAGCTCTAACAACCTAATCAGATTCTATCTATCCGAGGTTGCAGCAGAAACCAATAAAAGATGATCAGGCTTCAATTGACTCAATCAAAACACTTCAATTGATTATAATCAAACAATATCACAATCCAAACGTCGTTACAACAATGATCCCTAACACATAGAACTAGGGTTCTTCATACCCAAGTGAGAGAAGGTTCTACTCCATAGAGAGAGGAAAACAGTAAACAAAGCAGTCATACTCATCAAGATGGGAAGGATCTGCTATGGGATGATGATCTTCACTCCAAGGATGATTTCCAAGTTTGATTGATGAAACCCAGCTCCAAAACCACTCTTAGCGGGTGTTCTTCGCACTTTCTCTCTCTAGGGCTCTGTTTTTGCTCCAGAAAATCGATCTCTTCTCCTTAGGCTCGAAATTGGGCTAAAACCCAGAATTTCCCGACCACACGGTCGTGTGGCTTTCCAGTCTGCCCGTGTGGATGTGAAAATGCCGCGTTTCAATTAGTGGTCTTCAGGCACGCTGCACGGCCAGATGCACACGACCGTGTGAGCTCCCTGGACTTTCCACACGGCCACAAGGGGTCCAATACACGGCCAGTGTGGCTTGGCCATGTAATGGGATTCCACACGACCATGTGGCTGCTAGGTCTGGCCGTGTGGATTCCTCAGCTCCTCGCCAGACGTCCAACTTTCGTCCAATCGACCCGAAACTCGCTCCCAAACCTCCAATCACGTATTAGGACCTGAAATAATACAGACGAGAACAACCTAGCGTGAAATCGACCTAAGAACAAGAAATAAGACTCAAACGGCATAAGAATGGTGGATAAAAACATGTGTATATATCAAGTCATCAGGGAGCCTACTAAGCCAACTCCTGCCAAGACTACTCCGCTTGTTGCAGGCAATCAGGGCACTATGGCTAAATGAGCTTGCTATAAGTCTGGGATTTCTATTTCTATGCTCGTGTGTGAAATGATCATCCACAAAGTGAATTGTGGCACAAAGCTTGGAATGCGCCTACGCTTTCCCTCGACAAATCGAAGATCGGTCATACTAGAAGGGTGGAGAATATTCAATGGTTCGCCCCCTCCCCCCAAGAGGTTTGATGAAAATCAATGTGGATGGACCGTTGGGAGGCAATCCGGGATTCGTAGTTGAAGGAGGACTGATTCGTGATGAACATGGGAGATGTATTACTAGTTTCGTGGAAAAGGTAGGGGGAGCTTCAACGACACTTGCAGAACCTTGGTCAATCCTACAAGCCTTGATATTGCTTGGAGACACAGGTGCGCTAGTTTGATTGTTGAATCATACTACCAGTTGACGATTGATTTAATTAAGGATCGACAGGACCCTATCCACCCTTAGGCTGCTCTGTTAGCCTTGATTTGTTGGTGTATAGCACAGGATTGATTGGCTAACATTGTTCACAAATATCACAAAGCGAATAAAGCTGGGGACGGGCTGTCGAAGCACACTCTTGTCTATCCCTACGGAATGCAAAAACTTGTTAACCCACACAGTGAGCTTTGTAGGATCTTACATGATGACATTTAGGGGATACCTTTTGAGCGCCGGGTTGTGGTGCCCCCCAAGATGGAGCCTCTTTTTTCTCTTCCTCTCTTGTTTTTTTTTTTCCGTTCTTGGTTGCGGCCTCTAGTAATGCAAAAAAGTAAGTGATTTGGGCACAAATCCCTTATAAATCTCTCGTAATAAAATTTTTGATCCAAATATACGACCCATATATGTGCTCATGGGGCTTAATTAAAAAATGCCTAGACTCATAATGGCCTTAATCAATTACTTCTGAAATGTTTCCTTAGAATTTGGTGGTTGTTACTTGGTAGTAGCATGGGACGCCCAAATTCATTGCTTCTGTTTTAGGTTCCTAGTTGCCGTTCTTATGACATCCACCCTTTGAGGCCTAATGGTTGTGATTGAAGATCGACTGAGGATACTAGACCCATGGGCTGAGAATCAATAGGAAGAAAGAGCCACCGTAACGTCTAGTACTTGAGGTAAATTAGCCATGCCTTCCCGCTTTTTATCACCTAATTAATGAATCACTATGACCGACAATGCAATATCTAATAATACAAAATGTAGAAGGTATTTTCCTTAGATTTCTAAAAGAGGAACATGTAGAAAGAAATCCCAACAAACTGGCGACGGCAAGTCAACAATCTACGTACTAAGGTGCTTGGTACAATGAGAAGTAATCTCAAGATTGAACTATCTTAACCCAAAAAACAAACAAGAAGACAGAGGTGATGATGGCTAGAGGTAGTGAGCCTGTTGACCAGGTACTCAAGCTCGAATGTGCGGAACTGACGAAGTAGTCTCTAGAGATGGAGACGTTTGGTGCCGATGAACCTAAAAGATGGCAAGGATAAGTTGGTTAGCGGGGCTCATTGAAAGCTATGGTAATTGACCAAGGAAGAAAGTTTTGTTGTGTTGAAGGGCGAGCAAACTTACAGTTGAAGTGAGTCCATCCAATCCGCTGATGAATCAAATCGTACACAAAAATCTTATCTTTCAGCACAAGCTCTGGACATTAGGACAAGATGAGCCAATTATCAAAATTGAAACAATGAAGTCTGTCATTATTAAAAGGGTTAATATATTTTTATGACCTAAATTTTGACCATAATAAACATTCTGACCAATCTTTTCGATCTTTAACATTCTGGCCTAAATTATACATCAAAGTAACGAAATTGGCAAAACCCGTTGTTTGACCATTAAATTTGACCGTCCAATTGATAGAAACCTATTTCTAGGGTTCCATCGATTGGGTTGGGAAATTGAGAATTGATAGAGATTTAGAGATTTAGAAGAGAATTAGGGATTAGGAACAGAATTGGGGAAGAACATACAAGAATGACTGGCGGCCTAGGTAGAGGTGAAGACGAGATTGTGAGGAGAAGATTAGGGTTTTTGGGAGGAATAACTTTCTTATTAATTTATGCTTACTCTAACAAATGACCAAGTACATATTTATAGCTAATCACTGAAAAATCCTAATAGACTATCCTAATGTGACTCAAAGACTTAACAAGAAAAATCCTCATAATAATAATAGTAATTATAGAAACCGTAGGTTTCTATCATCTCCTCCTCCTTGAAAACAACCTTGTCCTCAAGGTTGACCGACTGACCCCACTTCTCCATTTTTCTTGTCGTCATCCACTTGCTCTTTCTTCTCTTCCATTTACGTTCTAGCACACGGACGAATTTTCCGGTACACATCATTCTGTGTGATATGCACAACAACCCGAACTTCCATTTCCCCACCTTCGTGAACATTCTTTTTCCCCACTCTAAGTACTTTCCACATAACGAAACTCCATCCACAACGGTCCGCCACCGTCCATCTGCCCCTATTATATCCATTGGAACTCCAATTGGCCCGCACAAACTCTCCTTGAGTTTCTGATTAGCCAAGGTATTCTGATCTGCTCGAGGTACCCTCTTGACATCAATGGCGTAAAGGGGAACGCTATCATAGAAACCTAACAATAACTTATCTTGGCTACCACTACAGAACTCGGCAACGACGAGAACATTGGAATAGTCTAGGAATTCCTTCGATGCAGCAACTATAACTCCTGTTTCCGCAGACCCCTCAATCGGAACACTAGAACCCAACAGCTTGCTCTCGACTCCGAATATCCTTACTCTTAATTCATACCCCGTGAAGTTTTGATTATATGAAGCCTTTCCCGTCCCCGAGCCGCTGTCATCTCGAGCACCCGTGAACTCCATCTTGTTCAACTGGTAAATGGCCTTTTTACCACAAACAGCCGCACATAGCTCAACATTCCTTCTCTCACTATGCCACTTTGGAGACTTCTCTTGAAATTCCCAACTCCAATAGGTGGCCCTCTCCTTTTGGCATTCAGCAGCGCCACCCCACACAAGCTTCTCCGGAGGTTCTGCCATCAATGGGAACTTGTCCACCCTAATAGCTACCTCCTCTATGATTAGAGGTCCTGCCATACGCCTTGCTTCCATCATCAATAATAGTGGATAAATATCCACCACCCCACCATGCCACAATCTCCACCCACACGCTTCAACACTCGCCCCCGAGCTTCCCCAAGCTTTAGCTCCTTGGATCCAGAGGAAGTAGGGGTTGTTGCTCACAAACAACTTCATACTTTTTGTCGCCACCATCTCCAACTCCCTCATAGGTCGCCCTGCCTTCTTCTTCTCCGGTGAAGCTTGAGGCAGCTCACCGTCGCTTGCTTCCATCTTCTCCATCAATGTTGCCCGGTGACGGCCGCCATAACGCGCGTCCTGAGTCAACATAGGATCTTCGACCCTTATGCACTTGGCAAGCTGTGACCGTATTGGCAGCTTCTGCCTCGGCCGCAAACAAAGTAACCCCAAACTGTCTTCTTTGTATTTCAGCTTTACCACCACTCTTTTCAATACCAGTGCATCACGCCAGAAAACGTTTGGACACGGATTTCCATCATTATCATTGTACTTCAGAAGTTGTAGCACCAAATCCAAAGCTTCTCCTTGTTTCTTCTTATCTGTCGCCCTCACCATTGACGCAACATGATAAAGGGCAATGCCTGCCCTTGATTTCTTGAACCTCTCCCATCGGCGTCGGTACCTCCAATTGAGGGAGCTACCCTTCTGCGCACTCTCACCATGACCAATTCCACTACAAGTTTTCCAATACCTAAAAGAGGAAGTGTTCTCACCCGCGTGACTACTATTCCCGTCGATGGTAGGATGGGGAAGCTGATCATTGAGCTGCGTCATCGGCTCTTTCTTTGGATTGACCGGTGGTTGATGGACGGTTGCAGCGAGGTTGCTTGTGGTGGTACGCTGGTCCGTTTTGGAGCCACCAATGATCCCGACTAGAGAAACGATAGTTGTAGCCACCCGGTCGTGAGTGTAAACACTAGCCAGTGGGGCTTGCACGCTCCCAATGCTCTCGCCTGTGGTATTCACGCCGCAATCGCGTGCCATCTCCTCAAGCGGTGGCAGCTCACTCGCTGCCTTATCCTCCGCTCCTTCTTCCAACCGCGACGACCCTTTTTCCTTGGCGGCGGCCGTCTCTTCCATTCCCTCAGCCACAGAATTTTCTTCCCCCGATGCGACGGTCAGCTGCAGGAGAATGACAACGGGTTCAGCGAGCTGTGTGCTTTCCGCTGCTGCCGATGAAGATTTGCTCCTAGGAATTTCAACAGTGAGCAGGCTGTACCTCAACCAAATGTCAAATTCTTCAGTATCGAAATCAGACCTGATCTTGATCTTAGTGTCAAAATGCATCCACCGATGCTCGCCCTCCAATGGTTGTTTTCCACATATTGTTATGATGCCCGAGGAGTACACCACATGTGCTCTCCTAAACCCAGGCAAGCATACGAACACTCGAATGAATGCTGAGGTTACCAATTTAGTAACCCTAGGTATGAATTCTTCATATACGTCCATCCCTGATTGAGAGTTGTGACAAACTCGCTAACGAACGGGGCTCTGATACCAGATGATAGAAACCTATTTCTAGGGTTCCATCGATTGGGTTGGGAAATTGAGAATTGATAGAGATTTAGGGATTTAGAAGAGAATTAGGAATTAGGAACAGAATTGGGGAAGAACATACAAGAATGACCGGCGGCCTAGGTAGAGGTGAAGACGAGATTGTGAGGAGAAGATTAGGATTTTTGGGAGGGATAACTTTCTTATTAATTTATGCTTACTCTAACAAATGACCAAGTACATATTTATAGCTAATCACTGAAAAATCCTAATTGACTATCCTAATGTGACTCAAAGACTTAACAAGAAAAATCCTCATAATAATAATAGTAATTATAGAAACCGTAGGTTTCTATCACCAATTTAACGGTCAAACAACAGATTTGACCAATTTCGTTACTTTGATGTATAGTTTGGGCCAAAATGTTATAGATCGAAAAGATTGACCAGAATGTTTATTATAGTCAAAATTCAGGCCATACAAATATATTCACCTTTATTAAAACAAGATAGAAACACAATCGGATAGCTCCTAGAAAACTGACAGAAACACATCTAAATTCTTTATTTTTCGCTTGAGCATTTCTTAATGAAAGATAAGAGGATCAGAAGGTCGCTAACCTCCTAAAATTGTCAGTTGTGGGCTCTTCCCAAAACCCAGGCACCAGATCCCAGCAGGGTCCAACTACAAGCAAGTATTGCCAATGGTCAGACATTGTAGAAGCTGAATTCAAAGGATAAGGTAGAAGAACCAGATAGCTAAGGTTGTGCATGAAAACTTACAAAAGACTGGACAAGATACTCCTCTGGTTTTAATACCAGAGAAGCGCCGCCAGCAAAATGCAAGCTCACTGCAGGAAACAGCTGGGATACAGATACACTGCACATGGAGGCCAACCGATAGGGGTGGGCATTGGTGCGGTTTGGACCGCACCGCACCGCATTCATATAAACCGCACCGTACCGCATTCATATAACCGCACCGCATTTTTGACCGTAAAGTTATTGGTAGGGTCAAACCAAACCGCATAAATTAACGGTTTGGTACGGTTTAGACCGCACCGCATCTCAATTCCCTGTGCTTGACGTAATTCCAAAGGAAAATAATCAGAAACTTTCTAACGCCAAAAACTTTCTAATTCTGAAATCTGTTATTCCAATTAGTGTTTTTCAATTCGAAGTCAACTGGAAGTTTCTCTTACAAAGCCTCAAGCTCTTGTTCATAAGGAGCAAATTGGAACAATTCTCTACTGCAACATTACATAGGGAAGAAAAGGATTCAGCAGCCCCTGTGCTTGACGGATCAGACCATCCCTGCACAGAAAGAATGCAAATGGGGGAAAAACAGAAAAAAGCAGCCTTGAAGCCTTGAATGCAAATGACGGATCAGGCCATCCCTCCACATTGCTCTGTTTCCTGCGACCAAAACAGAGCATATGTTACACAATAAAAAAGAAATCAGATGCTCTGTTTCCTGCCACCAAAACAGAGCATATTTTACACAATAAAAAAGAAATCAGATGCTCTGTTTCCTGCCACCAAAACCCATATCAGATGCTCTGTTTTCTGCCACCAAAACAGAGCATATGCTGCAGCCATACAGTAAGAAATTGTACTTGATCTTTTTTGCAGCAGCCCGTGCTCCAAGGGGCAGGGAATGACATTGTTGATGGATCGGAATATAGGCGGGAGAAGAACAGAATCAAACCTTTGCCTGCTAAGTTTAATGGAAGTTTAGTTCAACATGGTCAACAAGGGAAGGGACATGTGGAGAGTAGTAAGAAGTTATGGGAGAGAGGGCCAAGACTTGGTATTCATTGGACGGAGGACAGTATGGTGTGCCTAGGCATAGTGTCATAAGCTGGCTGGTCATCAAGGATAGAATAAGTACTCTAGAAAAATTGAAGGCCTGGGGCAAGATCTATGATGACAGTTGTACACGCTGTGGGCTTGGACAGGAAACAAGAGAACAACTTTTCTGTCAATGTACCTACTCTAGAGCTGTTTATATGCATAATATATCATTAGGAGAAGGGTTGCTCTTCCATACTCATATGAGTTCAAATCAAATTTTCAAGGTGAAGGGATGGCAGTTGCCATGAAGCTCAAAACATGGCTTAAATATCAAGTTTCCATATCTGATACCTATTCAATATCATATTCACTTTAGAACCCCAAAATCTCCTCACTTCAGCACCATTGCTACCACAAAAAATAAACTCAAAACATGGCTTTCCAATGGGGTGAAGGAAAAGAACAGAGGAAACCATGGTGGGTTTTCCCAGAATTATAAAAGATTTGCAAAAACATAACCCGAGTTTTAAGAAACACTCAGCCATACAGTAAGAAATTGTACTAATGATTAGCTTCAAATGTTACCTTATATGTTTGTGCTTGCCTCTACATTAGGACTCATACGAGGAGTATGGATACGGGGAAGCGGAACATCGGATATACCAATAGCGTTCATTATCATGCTCAACTCTGAAATTCATAAGAAGAAAGTTTAACCACTACATAAAACGTACATGGTACATAAACAGTAGCTTTTTTAGGTTACTCACCTTCATCGATATTGTCAATCTCCTCTGAATCTTCTTCAACTAGACACGCACTAGAGTATGCCCGGAGCCAATCCTGAGTACAAATAAGAGCCTCAACAATCCTAGGAGTCAAAGAGCTCCTAAAATCATTCAGCACCCTACCTCCAGTGCTAAAAGCTGTTTCGGATGAAACCGTAGAAACCGGGACAGCCAATACATCCCTTGCCATCCGAGACAAAGTTGGAAACCTATGGCTGTTTACTTTCCACCATCCTAACACATTAAACTTGGCATCCATTGATTTTTCAACACCCTCCTTCAAATATCTATCCAGTTCGGTATTGTTCACTACACCTCTTTCCTTTTGCATTTGTTTCATATACTCGGCAACTAAATCCACATTCCCACCATTATCATCTAGTTCTGTTTGAGAGGAGGAATCTTCACCTACTTCCATTTGATTCTCATAATGAGCATATAACTCATAAGTAGCAAGCTCAATGTCTTTTGTCAATTCAGAAACTGCTTTCTCATCATTATACATCCACTTGAGTGTGAAACCAATAAACTGTAACTTTAGCCTTGGATCTAACACAGCAGCTATGTACAATAGCTTGTTCATCTTATCCACATCTCCCCAATATTTATCATATTTTTGTTTCATCTTTGTTGCCATGAAGCTTAATTGGTAATCCTTCTTGTCTGGAATTACCCAATTCCTCAATAAATTGTATAAGTTCCCAACTTCAGGAAGGAATAAATTGGAGGTGATATACTTTGAACCTGAAACTTTTAAGGTGAACTGATAAAACTGTTCTAAGAACTTCATCATTCTTCTAGCACTATCCCAATCACAGCTATCAGGTACTCCACTCTTCATTTCAAGTTCATTTTGGAATTGCTTATCTGACATTCGATAAAGATTAAAAGCATGCTCATGCTTTACAGCAGATTGCAACATCAAAAAGGTTGAATTCCATCTTGTCGGAACGTCTAGACACAACCCACTCTTGCTCGTATTATCAAGAGCAACAAAATTATTAAACTTCTGAATTCTTGCAGGTGACTGCCTAACAAATCTCACCGCCTCTCTAATTCTTTTTACAGCCACAGATATCTCAGATAATCCATCCATCACAACAAGATTCATTATATGAGCCACACACCTAACGTGAAGAAATTTGCCATCACACATGCCAATCTTTCTATCATCAAATATGCTTTTCAATTCTTCTATTGCAGTATCGTTCGAACTAGCGTTGTCAACAGTGATTGTGAAAATCTTATCTATCCCCCATTCATCCAAACAAGACATAACTGCACTTGCAATATCCACCCCCTTATGACTAAAGATTTGGCGAAAACCAATTATCCTTTTCCTTAATATCCAATTTCTATCAATAAAATGAGCTGTCACACACATGAAGTTCAATTGTTTGTTTGAAGTCCATGAATCTGTAGTCAAACAAACTCTACCTTCACAGTTGCTAAAGACATCCTTCAACTTTTGTTTCAACTCAAGATAAAAATCCCAACAATCCCTAGTCACTGTTCTTCTAGAGGGTATATGGAATCTAGGACAAGCAAGTGACATAAAGTATTTGAAACCCAAGTATTCAACAAATCTGAAAGGCAATTCATCCACAACGATCATATAAGTCAATCCTTTCCTTATAGCTGCTTGATCAAACTTCCAACTGCCTAACACAGATTCATCCCCCTCACCTAGTTCAGCTCTAAGAGTATTCAATAGTTGTTGAGCCGTACCTTTTCCATCACCGCACGGTTTACTCATATGATTGCGAAGTGCACTAGTTCCATTGTTACGTGATTTAGATGCATAAGTCTTCCCGCATTTGATGCATGATTACTTGAATAAACCGTCTTTCTTATACCTCCTGAATTGGACCCAAACTTTTGATGTAAGCCTCCTCCCTTTTGGCATTGGTGAATTAATGTGAGTTGAAGCTGAACCAGTATGATCACTAGCAGCCACCTTGCTCGTACTTGCATCCATTTCGACTTCCATCTCTTCCCCACTTAAGGAATCCATTCCAACATCATCACACTCGGCCTAAAACAACAACAGAGCAAATGAGAACAAGAAAGAATGAATGAATGAAGTTACTGCAGATTATATACTACTAAGAAACACACACTTGCTGTCTCACTTGCAAGTTGCAAAGTTTGCAGACACTATACTAAAACCAACCAGTATTCACCATATAAAAAGAAAAGAAGAAAAAATCCAATTAACTAAACCAGTATTCGATTTGCCCAAAATAGAATCTTGTTTATCACATATAATATCACCATATAACAATTTGCCCAAAATAGAATCTACGTACGGATATGAAGAAGGGGTCACCAATCAGCGTAAAAGCAGTAGTGCAGGCAGGCTCCTTACAAGCGCAAGGAAGGAAACAGCACAAAGAATTTGCAAAACCAACACAAAGATTCGACTCTAATGTACTTCGAGGAAGAAAGTTTCTTCCTGCGAGAGCGAAGAAAGAAGTCGGCTTGGTAAAATCTAATTAAAAGCAAATGCAGGGGGGAGGAATATACACACACATATAGATCAAAGAAAGAAGATGCAAAAGACAACAGATAAATTGACGAGTACACTAAGAAGTCAACCATAGTAAAGAAAATCACCTCACTAACACTAAGCACATTGTTGCTGGGTATCGGTGCTTGAGCTCGTTTTCCCTGTGAGCCTTTTGATTTCATCTTTCCGATAATAGTATCTTTTGTTTCCCTATTGCTTGATATCGTAATCACAGATTCATTACAGCCCTACAAGCATATGAAAGAAGACATCAGGAACATAATATACAATAAACATCAGGAACATAATATACAATGAACATCCATGGATTTCCATTACTGAGTTATTCTCAAGATAAACTTCAAATTCCTTTTTTCATTCATTTAGTAGTTCACATTCTGGGTCATGAACAAAATCGCCAAAAACATCCTAAACATGGTTTTATACAGCATACAAAAACTCTTATACACACACCATACTCTTACACCAGTTGATGTTCTGGACTCTTCAGCAGGAGCACAGAAAGAATACATCTCGCTGGAATGCCAACTAGCAATCATTCAATCAACTACATTCTTAATCAAATAAGAAGATTTGAGACATTTTTGTAATAGCTTGCCCTTCATCATAACCCAAAAATAAATAATCAAACAAATTTTAAACTGGATCGAGATCTTAATCACCAGTCTTCTTACCAACAACACTAAAAATTTCCGCAACCCTGTTTCCTGCACACGAAACTAATAATCATACATCAACACAAACAGCCATCTCTTCTAATATCATCAGTTCATCAAACACCCCACCACCACAATTTTACATCCTGCAAACAAACCAAAAGCTTCAACCAAGATTTTTGGACATCCTCTCATTCCACTCAGCCACCACACCAATGTAAACAAACAAACCCCACCCACGACCCACCATACACAACAACTCAATATGTAACTTTATTCCTACTTGAAAACCCACGACCCACCATACTGATTCTGCTACTCAAAGTGTAATAGAAGAAACTGTACATGATAATGGATCCAAACATCAGGATGGGTTCACACTTGATAGGAAATTCGAATTTTGAAACATGAGAAACCAAAGCAAATACAACACAACAACCCAATATGTAACTCTATTCCTACTTGAAAACCCACGGAGGGCAAAGGGATCAGTGGGTCGGTCGCCGCCTTGGTGGAGGTCCGACGGGATCAGTGATTCGAGATTGAATCCAAAAGAGACCGACCAAGATTCAAGGATATGAAGAGGGAGGGAGAGAGTACCAGAACGGCGGTGTGACCCGGGATGCGGAGGCCGGCGGGGGTGCGAATCTGGATGTTAGGTCAGGGAAAGAGACTGGGGATGGCGGTGGAAGAACAGAGTAAAGAGTTGGGTGATTGCAAATCTAGGTTGAAGGAGAAGGAGGAGATTCTGGAACACTACAAGAGGCTTTTGGAGGAGAGCAAAGATGCGATGAAGGAGAAGGAGTCGGCGATGAATCGATTGAAGGAGGTGATCGAGGACAGGGATGGAGAGATTCGGCGATTGAAGGTGGTAGTGGCGGCAATGGAATTGGGACAACCGGAGGTGACGAAGAATTGAAAGCGATTAGGGGATGGAGAGATTCGACGCCTTCCCTGTTCAGTAAGAATTACCGGTTTGCGGTTTTGAACCGTAACCGTGTGGTTTCGGTCAAACCAAACCGCGAACCACGAACAACTAAATGGTTAGTCCGCAAATGAAACCGATAGTTAACGGTGCGGTTTGCAACGACCGTGTGAGCTTCCTGGACTTTCCACACGGCCAGTTTGACTTGGCCATGTAATGGGATTCCACACGACCATGTGGCTGCTAGGTCTGGCCGTGTGGATTCCTCAGCTCCTCGCCAGACGTCCAACTTTCGTCCAATCGACCCGAAACTCGCTCCCAAACCTCCAATCACGTATTAGGACCTGAAATAATACAGACGAGAACAACCTAGCGTGAAATCGGCCTAAGAACAAGAAATAAGACTCAAACGGCATAAGAATGGTGGATAAAAACATGTGTATATATCAAGTCATCAGGGAGCCTACTAAGCCAACTCCTGCCAAGACTACTCCGCTTGTTGTAGGCAATAAGGGCACTATGGCTAAATGAGCTTGCTATAAGTCTGGGATTGCTATTTCTATGCTCGTGTGTGAAATGATCATCCACAAAGTGAATTGTGGCACAAAGCTTGGAATGCGCCTACGCTTTCCCTCGACAAATCAAAGATCGGTCATACTAGAAGGGTGGAGAATATTCAATGGTTCGCCCCCTCCCCCCAAGAGGTTTGATGAAAATCAATGTGGATGGACCGTTGGGAGGCAATCCGAGATTCGTAGTTGAAGGAGGACTGATTCGTGATAAAAGTAAGTGATTTGGGCACAAATCCAAGATGGAGCCTCTTTTTTCTCTTCCTCTCTTGTTTTTTTTTTTTTTCCGTTCTTGGTTGCGGCCTCTAGTAATGCAAAAAAGTAAGTGATTTGGGCACAAATCCCTTATAAATCTCTCGTAATAAAAATTTTGATCCAAATATACGACCCATATATGTGCTCATGGGGCTTAATAAAAAAATGCCTAGACTCATAATGGCCTTAATCAATTACTTCTGAAATCTTTCCTTAGAATTTGGTGGTTGTTACTTGGTAGTAGCATGGGACGCCCAAATTCATTGCTTCTGTTTTAGGTTCCTAGTTGTCGTTCTTATGACATACTTCCACCCTTTGAGGCCTAATGGTTGTGATTGAAGATCGACTGAGGATACTAGACCCATGGGCTGAGAATCAATAGGAAGAAAGAGCCACCGTAACGTCTAGTACTTGAGGTAAATTAGCCATGCCTTCCCGCTTTTTATCACCTAATTAATGAATCACTATGACCGACAATGCAATATCTAATAATACAAAATTTAGAAGGTATTTTCCTTAGATTTCTAAAAGAGGAACATGTAGAAAGAAATCCCAACAAACTGGCGACGGCAAGTCAACAATCTACGTACTAAGGTGCTTGGTACAATGAGAAGTAATCTCAAGATTGAACTATCTTAACCCAAAAAACAAACAAGAAGACAGAGGTGATGATGGCTAGAGGTAGTGAGCCTGTTGAACAGGTACTCAAGCTCGAATGTGCGGAACTGACGAAGTAGTCTCTAGAGATGGAGACGTTTGGTGCCGATGAACCTAAAAGATGGCAAGGATAAGTTGGTTAGCGGGGCTCATTGAAAGCTATGGTAATTGACCAAGGAAGAAAGTTTTGTTGTGTTGAAGGGCGAGCAAACTTACAGTTGAAGTGAGTCCATCCAATCCGCTGATGAATCAAATCGTACACAAAAATCTTATCTTTCAGCACAAGCTCTGGACATTAGGACAAGATGAGCCAATTATCAAAATTGCAACAATGAAGTCTGTCATTATTAAAAGGGTTAATATATTTTTATGGCCTAAATTTTGACCATAATAAACATTCTGACCAATCTTTTCGATCTTTAACATTCTGGCCTAAATTATAAATCAAAGTAACGAAATTGGCAAAACCCGTTGTTTGACCGTTAAATTTGACCGTCCAATTGATAGAAACCTATTTCTAGGGTTCCATCGATTGGGTTGGGAAATTGAGAATTGATAGAGATTTAGGGATTTAGAAGAGAATTAGGGATTAGGAACAGAATTGGGGAAGAACATACAAGAATGACCGGCGGCCTAGGTAGAGGTGAAGACGAGATTGTGAGGAGAAGATTAGGGTTTTTGGGAGGAATAACTTTCTTATTAATTTATGCTTACTCTAACAAATGACCAAGTACATATTTATAGCTAATCACTGAAAAATCCTAATAGACTATCCTAATGTGACTCAAAGACTTAACAAGAAAAATCCTCATAATAATAATAGTAATTATAGAAACCGTAGGTTTCTATCATCTCCTCCTCCTTGAAAACAACCTTGTCCTCAAGGTTGACCGACTGACCCCACTTCTCCATTTTTCTTGTCGTCATCCACTTGCTCTTTCTTCTCTTCCATTTACGTTCTAGCACACGGACGAATTTTCCGGTACACATCATTCTGTGTGATATGCACAACAACCCGAACTTCCATTTCCCCGCCTTCGTGAACATTCTTTTTCCCCACTCTAAGTACTTTCCACATAACCCAACTCCATCCACAACGGTCCGCCACCGTCCATCTGCCCCTATTATATCTATTGGAACTCCAATTGGCCCGCACAAACTCTCCTTGAGTTTCTGATTAGCCAAGGTATTCTGATCTGCTCGAGGTACCCTCTTGACATCAATGGCGTAAAGGGGAACGCTATCATAGAAACCTAACAATAACTTATCTTGGCTACCACTACAGAACTCGGCAACGACGAGAACATTGGAATAGTCTAGGAATTCCTTCGAAGCAGCAACTATAACTCCTGTTTCCGCAGACCCCTCAATCGGAACACTAGAACCCAACAGCTTGCTCTCGACTCCGAATATCCTTACTCTTAATTCATACCCCGTGAAGTTTTGATTATACGAAGCCTTTCCCGTCCCCGAGCCGCTGTCATCTCGAGCACTCGTGAACTCCATCTTGTTCAACTGGTAAATGGCCTTTTTACCACAAACAGCCGCACATAGCTCAACATTCCTTCTCTCACTATGCCACTTTGGAGACTTCTCTTGAAATTCCCAACTCCAATAGGTGGCCCTCTCCTTTTGGCATTCAGCAGCGCCACCCCACACAAGCTTCTCCGGAGGTTCTGCCATCAATGGGAACTTGTCCACCCTAATAGCTACCTCCTCTATGATTAGAGGTCCTGCCATACGCCTTGCTTCCATCATCAATAATAGTGGATAAATATCCACCACCCCACCATGCCACAATCTCCACCCACACGCTTCAACACTCGCCCCCGAGCTTCCCCAAGCTTTAGCTCCTTGGATCCAGAGGAAGTAGCGGTTTTTGCTCACAAGCAACTTCATACTTTTTGTCACCACCATCTCCAACTCCCTTATAGGTCGCCCTGCCTTCTTCTTCTCCGGTGACGCTTGAGGTAGCTCACCGTCGCTTGCTTCCATCTTCTCCATCCATGTTGCCCCGTGACGGCCGCCATAACGCGCGTCCCGAGTCAACATAGGATCTTCGACCCTTATGGACTTGGCAAGCTGTGACCGTATTGGCAGCTTCTGCCTCGGCCGCAAACAAAGTAACCCCAAACTGTCTTCTTTGTTTTTCAGCTTTACCACCACTCTTTTCAATACCAGTGCATCACGCCAGAAAACGTTTGGACACGGATTTCCATCATTATCATTGTACTTCAGAAGTTGTAGCACCAAATCCAGAGCTTCTCTCTGTTTCTTCTTATCTGTCGCCCTCACCATTGACGCAACATGATAAAGGGCAATGCCTGCCCTTGATTTCTTGAACCTCTCCCATCGGCGTCGGTACCTCCAATTGAGGGAGCTACCCTTCCGCGCACTCTCACCATGACCAATTCCACTACAAGTTTTCCAATACCTAAAAGATGAAGTGTTCTCACCCGCGTGACTACTATTCCAGTCGATGGTAGGATGGGGAAGCTGATCATTGAGCTGCGTCATCGGCTCTTTCTTTGGATTGACCGGTGGTTGATGGACGGTTGCAGCGAGGTTGCTTGTGGTGGTACGCTGGTCCGTTTTGGAGCCACCAATGATCCCGACTAGAGAAACGATAGTTGTAGCCACCCGGTCGTGAGTGTAAACACTAGCCAGCGGGGCTTGCACGCTCCCAATGCTCTCGCCTGTGGTATTCACGCCGCAATCGCGTGCCATCTCCTCAAGCGGTGGCAGCTCACTCGCTGCCTTATCCTCCGCTCCTTCTTCCAACCGCGACGACCCTTTTTCCTTGGCGGCGGCCGTCTCTTCCATTCCCTCAGCCACAGAATTTTCTTCCCCCGATGCGACGGTCAGCTGCAGGAGAATGACAACGGGTTCAGCGAGCTGTGTGCTTTCCGCTGCTGCCGATGAAGATTTGCTCCTAGGAATTTCAACGGTGAGCAGGCTGTACCTCAACCAAACGTCAAATTTTTCAGTATCGAAATCAGACCTGATCTTGATCTTAGTCTCAAAATGCATCCACCGATGCTCGCCCTCCAATGGTCGTTTTCCACATATTGTTATGATGCCCGAGGAGTACACCACATGTGCTCTCCTAAACCCAGGCAAGCGTACGAACACTCGAATGAATGCTGAGGTTACCAATTTAGTAACCCTAGGTATGAATTCTTCATATACGTCCATCCCTGATTGAGAGTTGTGACAAACTCGCTAACGAACGGGGCTCTGATACCAGATGATAGAAACCTATTTCTAGGGTTCCATCGATTGGGTTGGGAAATTGAGAATTGATAGAGATTTAGGGATTTAGAAGAGCATTAGGGATTAGGAACAGAATTGGGGAAGAACATACAAGAATGACCGGCGGCCTAGGTAGAGGTGAAGACGAGATTGTGAGGAGAAGATTAGGATTTTTGGGAGGGATAACTTTCTTATTAATTTATGCTTACTCTAACAAATGACCAAGTACATATTTATAGTTAATCACTGAAAAATCCTAATAGACTATCCTAATGTGACTCAAAGACTTAACAAGAAAAATCCTCATAATAATAATAGTAATTATAGAAACCGTAGGTTTCTATCACCAATTTAACGGTCAAACAACAGATTTGACCAATTTCGTTACTTTGATGTATAGTTTGGGCCAAAATGTTATAGATCGAAAAGATTGACCAGAATGTTTATTATAGTCAAAATTCAGGCCATACAAATATATTCACCTTTATTAAAACAAGATAGAAACACAATCGGATAGCTCCTAGAAAACTGACAGAAACACATCTAAATTCTTTATTTTTCGCTTGAGCATTTCTTATTGAAAGATAAGAGGATCAGAAGGTCGCTAACCTCCTAAAATTGTCAGTTGTGGGCTCTTCCCAAAACCCAGGCACCAGATCCCAGCAGGGTCCAACTACAAGCAAGTATTGCCAATGGTCAGACATTGTAGAAGCTGAATTCAAAGGATAAGGTAGAAGAACCAGATAGCTAAGGTTGTGCATGAAAACTTACAAAAGACTGGACAAGATACTCCTCTGGTTTTAATACCAGAGAAGCGCCGCCAGCAAAATGCAAGCTCATTGCAGGAAACAGCTGGGATACAGATGCACTGCACATGGAGGCCAACCGAGGTCATAGTGAAGTAACAAGCAACAATCTGTTTGAATTTTTCCCTAACACATACATTGTCAAAACCAATATGTAACTAGTAGAATTTCCGAACCTAGAATTGACGAGGTAACACTGAAACCCTCTTCTCGTTGTAGGAGCTGCGGATTGGGAAACTACAGTTGTGACCTAAATTTTCAACATGTCATCATTAGCTTTGAGCTAAGAAACCTATCCAGAATGACTTAACTTGTTTAACACCTTATCTAATCACTTCCTCTCAACTCAATGTTTACTTACAGCGTTGACAAATTGGTCATGAGCCTCGTCGACTAGATAGGCATGAGTCGTGCCTGTGTCAAAGAATGTCCCGCCATTGGTAAACACCACTGGATCAACAGCCAGCATATCTCCATTGACTGCAATACTCTGTAGCTGTACATAGTACAGATGCCTGCAAATTTAAAGAGCAACCTGTGTTAATATTTCTAACATCCACTGTCACTTGAACAGCAATGGCCCAAAGGTTTCTACTAAATTGCAAGTCTTTTTCATGCCAACACTTAGATATAGCACAACTGAAAGATAATGAGCAGTGAGCAGTCACAAACATCAGAATTATAAACTGTAGAAAGTTGGATCTACAAGATGGAGGAGCATCAAGAGTTAAACAAAGATATATATACTCACTTGGATGGAGTGAGTGGCGTATATATAATGCCTTGCTCCAAAATTTTGCCGAGGACAAAAATACCACCTCCCATTCCATCTCCCTTTAAGCAATGGGAGAAGACTCTGGGTGTTAGTCCCGTGGAAGATAACTGGGAATAAACGGATAGATCTCCACGGCCAAAACCCAAATTTCCGTCAACTGCATGCTGGGTGCTGGTCAAGCGTCCCGACTGGTAGGTACTTACCCTGCAATGCATCCAACACGCACATAGAATAAGCTCCGACCCGATCGTGTGGAAAAAAATTGCAGAAACAAAAATATGGAATCACTCTGCCTGCCACAACAACTTACCCAAACACAATCGGCGCAGACCAGGAGTTTGGAATCGTGGAACCCGGCAAAACTGAATCGAAACGAAGCTCATCTTTCACATAAACCCCAGATGTTACACTCAAATCCAGATACTGGATCGTATAGCCACATTGGCCGTTACTTGAACACCAAGATGTGCCGCTTTTATTGAATGGAGCACAATCCTTGTGTGAACAAGGAATGACCCGTGCGGTTGAGGATGCAGTGGCATCGTAAAACGTAGGCTGGATCTGCATCACAATACCAACAAAAGAAGAATGAATGAGTTCCATAAGGATGGGATGAATCTCGACCCTTATGTACAGCTATCGTGCAATTCGTGTTCCCTATGGAATCACTCCCCTCTATATCGATTCTCAAGTAATTCCTCCTCACTATACATCCAGACATTATATCCCAGAAGTTGGTCACAGAAGCAGAGAGAGAGAGAGAGAGAGAGAGAGAGAGAGAGAGAGAGAGAGAGCTCACTAGATTGCTGGAGCGTGGACAATTGACGCAAGTGTTGGACATCACCCACAAGAAATCACTCCCAGTGTCGATCAGCACATTGAATTCCCTTGGTGGCGACCCCAGGTTTATTTTTGTGTAATACAGTCTGTCCAACAAAAAACAAGAGTAGCAACAACAACAACAAAAAACAGTCAATCCCTGCTTCTGCTTGGAATCAACTAAGTACTGTAGAGATGGGGAAGCAGGGGTAAAGGAAACAGAGGTAGGAGGAGGGAAGATTGAACAAAGGCAAAATACTAATTTTGCGTATTATTACGAGAATCAGAAAACGACGGCGTTCTAGGTAAAACGCTCGTATTAGTGTGCGTATTGTCCAATGCCCAGTCTTTTTGCCGCCAAATTTTAAAATTATATACTCCCTCTTTCTTACAGAAAAGACATATATTGTTTTTAAACTGCGGAAAAAGCAATTTTAATGGGGGGGGGAAAAAAACAGGGGGAAACGGAATTACCCGAACAGATTGGCATCCGCTGAACCGTAAACGGGGAAGTGGACAACTCCATCGGCGGCGGTGGACCCTCGCAAGATCCTCGCATGCCTGGCTTGGTCCCGAGCTGTGAGCTGCTCCATGGAAGTCGAGTTCGACGACAAAGGCAAAGTCCTCTCGAGACGGAAAACCGCAGCGCCATCGATCCCGAACAGATAAACGGCGGCAAGCATCATCACCGCCTTGATCACACACACTGGCGAGGAAGGAGAGCTAGAAACTATCATTTTGATTAAAAGGAACAGAGGACTGTGGGGAAACAGAGGAAGATAGAGAAACAGAACAAAAACAGGGGAGGAGCCTCTCTTGAAACGTTTGAAAGATTCTGATGGTACTAATCAGTGATCAATCGAGACTGTGAATTGGCATCTGGGAATTCAATATTGATCTTTATCTGCATCCTTTGTATACAGAGTTGGTTGATGAACACACTTAATGAGTGGGAGCCTGTCTGCTTTGAGACAGTCGCTGTTGGTTTGCTAAAATTAGGAGAATCAATCACTAGTAGCTGGCGGGAGTAGAGAAGTAATTGGAAAAATCTAGTCAGGGATGGGGTAAGGTAACTACTACCCTCCATTGATTCAAGCCTGTAAATGGGCTGATCTTTTTACTACCCATCTATGGTTTGTCAGAGACACAATTCAGGTATGGTTGAATCCTCCTCCGTCCAAACCAATATATGATTTGAACTCTTTTTTGTAGTTGTCTACTCCTCTCTTGGGGACTTTGGAGCCTTCTGGGTATCTTTCATTGTTTCCTTCCTGAGCTTGCATTTGCAATTTTGCATGCGTGAAAGGACCCAAGAATTTTACATAGGGGTGTCTCTTTGAAAATATAAATTAAATAAAATAACTCTTAAATAATTAATACAAATTAAATAATTCCTAAATAAGAAAATACTTGACTCGTACAACTTAAAAAATGTCAACTATGTGTTTTCACATTCGGAAATAATTGGAGAATACACTTGGTGCCTACTCTGCTCAAAAAAATTGTATTTTTGTATCCTACTAGACAATCATTCACGACCTGATGACGTATTCGATTCCTAAACTTGTTTTCTTATGTAATCCATAGCTGAAAATACTCTTTCAACACTTGTCGTACAACCATAAAATCAATACAAATTAAGGGTAGCTTGAAATTTGTTTAATTGTTAGGTTTAGAAAATAATTAGAGATAGTAAATGACATCTTACTATTACACAGTGTTTAATATCGAACAACAAAGGAGTTGTAGGCTTGTAGCTTAATGAAAATTATGTTTATTAATAATCATAGTGTGCTAAGTTTGAATTACCCAAACTACCACTTATATTCTGGGATTTTTCCAGAAATAGCACTGTTTAAAAAAAATTCCAAAAATAGCACCCAACTCTGAAAAATTCCAAAAATAGCACCCTTTCCCAAAAACCGCCACCCGTACCAGCGGTTTAGGGGAAAACCACCACCTAGGGGCGCGTTTTTCGATGAAAACCGCACAGGTAGGGGGCGATTTTGCAAACCGCTCCCCCACCATGCGGTTTGTTTGTAGACCGCACCCCCACCATACATTTTTTTTTTTTTTTGAAAAATCCTAACCTAGGTGGAAACTTCAAACGAACATATCTTTGTGTTCGGGTATCCGATCGTCGCGATTTTTTTTTATTCTGCATAATTTTTTGAGATCTTGCAATCCGAAGATTGCCGAAGGTGGTTTGGCTCGCCTTCGTCTCAAAAAATGTCGTATGCTACCCCGAACGAGCTTATTTCCGATTTCGTCAAACTTTGGACAACCATAACTTTGTACTCCAAAATCCAAATGACATGAATTTTTTTTTATTTCACATATTTTAATAAGGAATACTACTTTTATCGTAGACATAGTTTCGAAATGTACGTGGATTGCTGAAAAGGGAAGGTAAGCTATTCCCAAAATTCTGTATATCCAAAAATAATTCATGTTTTGAAAATTCATTCCTAGTAAAAATTGTAGTCCTTAGAAAGTTATGCGAAATGAAAAAAATAATTCTTGAAGTTCAGATTTTGGAGTACAAAGTTATGGTTGTCCAAAGTTTGACGAAATCGGAAATAAGCTCGTTCAGGGTAGCAAACGACATTTTTTGGACGAAAGCGAGACCAAACCACCTTCGGCAGTCTTAGGCTTGCAAGATCTCAAAAATTTATGCAGAATAAAAAAAAATCGCGACGATCGGATACCCGAACACAAAGATATGTTCGTTTGAAGTTTCCACATAGGTTAGGATTTAAAAAAAAAAAAAACGGACCGCATGGTGGGGGTGCGGTCTACAATCAAACTGCATGGTGGGGGTGCGGTTTTCATCGAAAAATGCGTCCCCTGGTGGCGGTTTTTGGGAAAGGGTGCTATCTTTGGAATTTTTAGGAGTTGGGTGCTATTTTTTGAAAAAATATATTTAAACAGTGCTATTTCTGGAAAAATCCCTTATATTCTCGTACCCAAACTAGAAAATGAGAGTAGAATAATCATTTTTTCAAATTTTATGAATGTCCCGACTATCAATTATGCTTGGTGTTATTGTTCTGAAGTGGTTATTGGGCTTGGTTTTGCTTTTTGGCCCAAGTGATTAGTTCTGGCTTCCTGGTCCTGCTGTTTGTTTGTCCTTTTTTAGTGCATTTTCTGTCTTTCATTTTCTTTTTCTTCATTAAATCATTTGTATAACAAGTTACACCAAGACATAATCAATCACCATACTGATCCAAACCAGTTACAAAAATCAAAAGTCAACATATTCATTTGAAATGAAAAGGCCTTCCTCACTTCTTTTATCCTCGGTAATTCCTTCCTCACTTCTGCTAAACAATTCGTAATTGATATCAAACAAATTGAACTGAACGAAATTAACAATTGAACGGAAGTGATATTGACTAACAAATTCTTCTTGCTACTTTGAAATTGCATATGCATATGGTCCTTTGGACCATAAATTTTATAATTACATATCACCTTCACACAAAACTCAACTAAAACTCTTTCCAATTGGGACCGAGTATGGTGCAAGCTTTATAGGTGGTTTTCATGGCATATTTAGTATTGAAAATTATATTTATATTAATTAAATTTTGGTTATTGAATCTCATATTAGTTACATTTTTTGGAATTGAAACCTCTAATTAATTACTTTTTTTTTTGTTTCACTTCTACCTTTCACTCTTTTCTCGTCAGACTTCCTCTAGCCACCTTGTCAAGGAATTGCAGCAGTAGTGTTTAGCAGAGGTTTGCAGAAGAGAGGAATCCTGAAGAGTTGCGGATTGCAGCAAGGAAAAGAAGAAGAGCTGGAAACGACGCCGTTATCATCATTGTGTCTGTCTTTATTAAACAAAACATTGGCGTAGTCTTTATTTCAGTTAGCCGTTAGCAAAGCACTGTTTTATTTGCTAATTGGCCAGTAGAATCTTGACATCTGTAATGCGAATGTTAATTTGATTTCGTAGCTATAAAAGAGACAGATTACTCAACTGGTTAGCTTGAGCTTCCTCTTCCCAAATTACTTGCAAATCGTCACACCTTCTAACCTTCATCTCGGTTCATCCTTGGGACGCCTAACAAAACTTGTACCAATATATAAAAATCAATACCACTATATAAAAATCAGTACAACTAAACAAAAACCAGTATCACTACGAGAAGAAAACCAAAAACAATATCAATACAATGAGTAAAAATGAAACCAACACTAGCACTAGTATTGTCATCGTCGCGGCGACCTCATCGGTCGAAATTGGAGAGAGCAGGAGAGGAGTAGAGAGAAAAGAGAGGGAAGTTCGTTGAAAGAGAGAGAGAGGGGATATAGAAATTCATAAAGAGGTTGCAATCACATGTGGTACCTCTTTTTGGTTACAAAATTGCCCTGATAATAAACTTACAAGCCTGTTAGTTAATAATAAGACTAGTCATTGATCAAGATTAACATGTATATATAAATACAATGATGAATTGAAAAGATGTACTTAACCTTATGCTTAGGCATCGTCGGCGGCGGATCTAGGGGGCCGCCCCCGGGCCACGGCCCAGCCCTCCCCTGGATCTAGAGCTAGCATATCTTTATAAATTTTCGATTTTCGGTATTTGTTGAAGTGTATGTCGGGTTACGGCCCAGTGCTCTCCTCTTCTTTGTCTAATGTGGCCAAGTGCTCTATACCCCTATCCTGGATCCGCCGCTGGGCATCGCTAGGAACTAGGCAACACCAAAATGTCTCGCGTAGGGGTTCCACAATGAGTTAGGTATCAAGAAAGAGTCGACGGAGTAAAGCGACGCCTAGGCATTATTAGATGAAGTTAAACAACCAATATCAAAGGGGAAAATTAACATTATTTACAAACTCAATCTTCTATCTCGATCTTTTTAATAGCTAAAAAACATAGGCAACTATTAAGCTGTGATTCTACAAACTTATGACCTACTTTCTTGTTGTTAAGGGTTAAGTAATTTATTAATCATTTGAACTTAAACGAAGAAGTGTTGTGATTTTTTATTTCATTCATCTTGTTGCTACTTTTGCTTCCAACTCCAACCTCACACCTAGCGGCTTCTTGCATCCTGCATCAAATACTTGTTTATTGATTGTTAAAAGTCCGATTTGTGCTCTAAAATGCCTCTATAAATCCTTAATGGGTTAGCTATGAAGACGAATGAGAATAATTTCTGGGAGAATACGAGAAAAATTGAAGATTTCAATATATAATTTTATTTCGATCAATGTAGTAATCATTTCCATTTTATATCTCGAAAATAAGAATCCTGGACGTACAACACATGTACTGGTGATGAGTAGATAATTCTGAAGGGAGCTGGAGCGATGCCATTCTTCCGTCGACCTTCCGGTTGACGAAATTTGAGGCGAAAGGGGTTATTTTGCTTATATTCTCCTCCTCTACTACGCCACATTTCTAGCCTGTTTAACAACAGTCTGGCATCCTCAATAGAAAAAGGGGGGATTTTGACCACGGAAAGTTATATAATCAGCTTATGTAAATAAGTAAATTTCCTTGAAATTTAAACCTCTTTCTGCCTGTCTGACGGTGGTGAAGGGGTTTTTTTTTTTTTTGCTTTTCATTGATGATGCTGATTGCTGAGGTCGTTATTATTTCGAAAGTCGGGCCGTCTCATATGAATCAGCCGTCTTTCTTATATGTACGTTTTCCTCATTTGGTCTTTGGAATCTTGGTATATTCATACTGCTTCTACTGTGTTGGGTTCGTTGTTGGAATATAGATAAAACGACTCCTCGTCAACGGCGGCGACATCTTTTACCATACAGGGCAATCAAAATCGAATTGGCTTGGAGGTAAACACATTCTCCTTCCTTCCATGCTTTTACCAGCATCGGTTTCTTGGGGTTAACAGGGAATCAAGGCTATTTGAATTGAAGTGCATAATGGTGGTGATAAGCCATTTAGCAAGTAATGTTTTTTATTTAATGAGAAATTCGACAAATAATCGAAAATAAGATGTGTGGCATGTATAAATAAAATACAATAAAAATAACCGATTTGTTTTAAAGTTGTTATGCAACAGTTTTGTGTTAACCTCATCGATATTATCTGCTTAAAAAGGTGATAAATGGATTGGATGCATAGATTTGTAGATTGGATTGGTGGGTTCGTATATTTGGATCAAATGAACAAGTGGATTAGATCAAATGGAGTGGTAGATGGGATCATGGATCCAAGTGACATCTATATATTTGACCAACTTGAAAATTTTATGTGAAAAAATGCCAAAATAAAAAAATTTAGGGTCCAAAATATAATTTTTCAATATATAAGAACCGTGGTCCGATATTTAAAGAAATTTTAGAATCAAGGAGTGAACAAACATTGTATTTGATCTAGTTTGGTCCGGTCTAAATGTCAATTCGGCCCATTTTTCTTTAGTGTTCATAAATTGTATGGGTAAAGATCAGACCACAATATATTTGGTTTGGTATGGTCCGATTCACGCCGTACCAAACCATTGCACACCACTAAAAATATGTCACCCCGCTAAATATTGGGTGGGTGGACTATGGTGGACCCATACTCCACCCTTCTTAACCTCAAATCGTTAAATTTCTAACATATAGCATTACCTAAACTAAAAGCCAAAACATCACAAAAATTCCCCCCAATTTTGATTAAAAAAATCTTCTCAAATCTCTCGGTATCCTTTCTTCCCAATTTTGAATGAATACCTTCTCAAAGATATCGTTATTGAGGATAATTGCAAAGTCTAATTTGTTTTCATCCTTGAAAATCTATATCATATATTTACTTCCTTCTATGAATCCCTGATAACTTATCTTGTTTTTATACTACTTTGGCTTATTCCATTGTTCATTTCGGGAGTGCATGGTGAGTAATTGTGGATAAAGAGTTGGACATTAAGCATGAAATTTCATCTATATCTACCTATCTTGGAGGTGCGGTTTACAAATAATGGTGCTATTTTTGTAAGTTCTTTGGAGTGGATGTTATTTTTGTAATTTTTTTTAATAGGTGCTATTATTGGAAAAATCCCCTATCTATCTATACTTAATATTATAGTTATTCAAAAGTAACTTCTGACCACATAAGCCTTTGGTGAATTCACAAGATGCCAAGGTGGACAATGTTTATACAAACAAAATTTTATTTATTGATCTATTTATGGAGCTATCTCTCTCTTCTTTTAATAAATCTACTCATTTTTACTAAAACTTAAAATAAGGTACATTTTTTTGAAAAATTAAAACAAACAAACACACATAAGTAATAATCTTTTTTCAAAGGTTAATATTTCTGTATGGCCTGAACTTTGAACAAAAGAAACATCCTGGTCAATTTTTTCGATCTATAACATCCTCGCCCGAACTATACATCAAAATAAACAATTTGGCCATATTCGATTTATTACCGTTAACTTGGACGGTCAAACATGTTGACTAACGGTAAACGCGTCATGTCACTGCCAACTCAGCAAATTTCAATTATTTTTTTTAATTTACACCTATTTCCATTTTCTTTCCTTTATCATTTTGAATCCCATTTTTCTTTCCATTTTCTTTCCTTTATCATTTTCTTTCCTTTATTTCCAGGCCGAGGGAGAATTCGGCCTGCGCTCTGCTCCGGCTTTCGCAATTAGAAGGAACAAGCTCACCAGCGGCGGGTTTCGCTCGAAGAAGGACGTGTCCACCGCGCTCTACTCCCTCCACTCGGTGAAGGAGAACAAAATCAGAGCCGTACAGGCGAGGATCATGAAACCGCTGGTGGAATTGATGGCGGATTTTGGGTCAAACATGGTGGACAAGGCGGCGTACGTTCTCAGCGTGCTAGTCTCGCTTCCCGAGGTGAGGTCTTCCTTGGTAGAGGAAGCCGGGATTCCGGTGCAGGTGGAGATCGTCGAGGTCGGCTCCCAGCGGCAAAAGGAGATTGCCGTCTCGGTGCTGCTGCAGCTCTGCGAGGACAATTTGGTTTACAGGGCGATGGTGGCGCGTGAAGGAGCGATCTTGCCGCTTGTTGCTCGCTCAGTCCGACACCAATCGTGGTCGTGGTCGGCACCTATTTCCAATTTTTTTGTTTTTTTTTTCCAGTCAAAATGATAAAGGAAAGAAAATGGGAATAAGTGTAAATTAAAAAAAAATTGAAATTTGCTTAGTTGGCAATGACATGGCCCATTGACCGTTAGTCAACGCGTTTGACCGTCCAAGTTAACGGTCAAAAGTCGGATCCGGCCAAAATTTTTATTTTGATATATAGTTCGGGCCAGGATGTTATAGATCGAAAAGATTGGCCAGGATGCTTATTTTGGTCAAAGTTCAGGCCATACAGAAATATTAACCATTTTTCAATTAAACAAACTATAAAGATGAAAATAGAGAGTGACATAAATCGTGTTTGTTTAATCCAAAAATATCTTATTAAATCTCATTAAGTAAATTTTCTATTCATTTTTACTAAAATTTTATAATAAGTTACATTTTGATGAAAAAAAGAAGCACACATATGAATAATAATAATTTATCAATTAAACAAAATTTAAATGATGGCCTAAGAGAAAATAAGTGTCTGACAAACAATCGACTTTGAAAAATAAAATATATTATATATTTTTTTGCTATCAAACACTCACTTCTTCATTATGCATATACTTTTACAATAAAACAAGTATAATTTATATAGAAAAAGGTCTGAAGATAAACTTGACAGATCAATAATTGTTATTTTTTTAAAACACTTCTTATTCATTCCGATTAAATGAAAATATATTAATTATGAATTCAACCTTTTAATTTATCTCTACCCTTTTCTCATTTTGATTATCTCTCCAGAAATAAAATCCAACATTGAAAATAAGAAATTAGATAGAGAAGGAAATGGTAATGCATATGAAGTTTTTTTTTTCTTTGTAGGAGAATAAGAGGAGGGAGGTACACGAGGCAACGATTAGTTTGCAAAATTTTGAGAAGTTGTAACATATTTTTGCCTGTTGATGAAAACAATTCATTCCATCATTGTGAGGACGAGAACAAAACCGAGGATTGTCGGTTGCTCCTTCTTCCTCCTTGATCTGAAGCTGGCAACTACTCAATCTTTTTTTCTTAATTTCTTCCAAATTAAGACTGCTGGATGGTAAATTTCACCCACTCGATGAGTGAATGTATTTCTTCTTCGTTTTCACGTAGTTGTTTTATGCTCTCTATTACGTCATATACTTTTATGTAAATTGGTAATATATAATTAGAAGGGATAACTGGTTGGACTTAGGGTGAATTTCTACACGTTTGCAATGACATTTGTTTTTTTCATTAGGGTGGATTTTTTCTCATTGAATCCCTAACTAAAATTTGATTTTGACATGATTTTTTTTTACCAACTACTATTTGGATTAGTGCATAAATTTAGTTCACAAATTATGAATATGCAAGATAGAATGAGTTGAGTTGTATTGAAGTATGCTCCTTCATTATTTGTCTATGTTGTTATTTGGTAAAAAAAAAGCACCATTTTTTCCTGCAAGAGATATGTAGCTCTCTATAAAATATAAATTGTGTTTATATGCAGTTTAGTTTACTGAAAATATTTTTTTAATAAATTAGTGATAATAGATAGTTCTGTTTGTGGTTGATTTGCTAGAACATTGCCAAGATAAATTAAATAAGTATGCGGAAGATTGATGGTTGTGGATGCTAATGTGTTACATCATTATTCCGTAATTGCAGGTGTAACTGGTAATACACGATTTTCGTGGAATCAAGATCGGAATATTCTCGATTATCTTATACCGACATATGAGAAGAGAAAGAAAAAGAAAAGCTCTTCGCTTTTTTATTATTATTAATTGACGCATATTTTCTTATTCTAACTTCTTTGTTTGAGGCCTTCAATTTTTTAACTTCTTTATCACTTTTTTTAGTTCGATACAAAATTCTAAATCGGTAAAGAACAATCTACAGAGAGCTCAGTTAATAAAATTAAATTTTTTATAAATAAAAAAGGTATAAGAGTATGAAAGATAACCTAAAATAAGGTAAGTGAGATTTACAATTCCATGTATATTAGCTCAATTTGTTTTTAGGTGAGTCAACAAAAATAAATAATAATAATAATAATTAGAATACTATAACGAATTATAAATAACCAAACAAAACCTGCCGCTCAATGGGCGGCTAAAAACTAGTTTTTTGTTATGATTAGACTTATATGATTTTTGAACAATTACTAGTAGTAATATTGTAAGCTAAATGGTGCATCTAATTTACAGACTAAACATTATTTAGTTTGATGATTTCTTTCATCTTACTTACCGAAACAATATGAATTATTTGATATTTCGGAATGTATATTGAACAATTACTAGTAATAACATTATAAGGTAAATGATGCATTCAATCTATGGATTAAATATTATTTAGTTTGTTGATATTTTTCATTTTACAATATGAATTATGTAATGTATTTGAATGCATGTTGAAAATCACTTGTAGTAATATTATAAGTAATGATGTAAATGTTTTACGAATTAAACGTTAATAGTTTGGAGATTTCTTTCATCTTACATATAGAACAATATGTATTATATGATATTCCATAATATTGTAAGCAATACACAACCACCCTTGCGACACTTTTCCTTTCTTTGCCATCACCCCCTCACCACCCCCTCGCCTTGCTGGCGCCCGCTGTCCTCCTCCCCATCACCACCATCCCTCCTGCTGCCGTCCTCATCCACCGCTTCCACCACCACCACCATCCTCCTCTCTTCAATCGTCATCGTCCTACCGTCACCATCCTCCGGCATCGCTGCCACCATCTTCGTTGTTGCGCCGCCCTCCTTTCTCGGTGAGTTTTCAATTTTCAGATCTGACTTTTCGATTTCCAGTTTTGTTTTTCGTACCACTGCACTAATATTTGTATCATTGCAATTTAAACTAAGATATGAGATTTGTACCAGCGCACTGGTAATGATATTTGTGCACTGGACAAATCTCATATCTTAGTTTAAATTGCAGTTGTAAAAATATTAGTGCAGTGGTACAACTTATCAGTGCAGTGGTATAAATTTTTAATGTAGTGGTACATTTGTGTAGGTACCTGGAGGGAGTCTGCCGGAGGGACTTTCACAGGAGAAATGTGGCGGTCGGAGACTCGGAGTAAGCCTGGTGGTCGGAGGCTGCTGGAAAAGAAAGAATCAGAGATAGAAGAGAGAATTGTATTTTGTGTAGAATCACACTTTTTCCTTACAATTTTAATCAAAATCTACGCTTTAAAACTTAAAAACTTACGGTTTTACGCTTTTGCTCACCAAAGCGCTTTTAGTAGGGATGGCAATGGGTCGGGTTTGGGGCGGATTATACTAAACCCGTCCCCATACCCATTTTCAATTATCAAATCCATACCCTCCTCATCCCCATGCGGAGGAAGATTTTGCATCCCCATCCCCATCTCTGCGGATTTCGGATACCCGACGGTAATCCCCCCCCCCCCCCCCCGGGTACATCTAATTATGATTATAACTAAATTAACACACTTTTTATTTTTGAGTGATATCAATGGAAGAAAATAGTTAAACTTACAATTCTACCCAAGACCCCTAGCAGATTCTAAAGAAGCCACTCAAAAAATCAAAAGAATCTAGCTCTACACGAGACAAAAGCAGTGCTTTACGCGCCACTCTATGGGCATCACTGTTAGCGGATCTAGGTACCGCCCTAAACTCTACACAAACAGACAAAGAGCTAAGGATCTGAAGACACTCTCGTAACACCGGACCACCAATCGAGTCTTCAATGACGCCTTGATGGACTTGGTTGACCACCACCCCGGAATCACCTTCGACTATCACGTTGGACAAGGATCTTGAGGTTACGATGGAGTTGGTGACTCTAAAGGCTAGAAGCTCTGCCAGATAAAGATTGACTATTCCTTAATGCTGCAGTCCGAGCGCCAATACCACATGCCCGTCTGACCCACGGATAAGAAGCTCAAACGAACAACCGATGGCACAAACAGCTGCGTCGACGTTGATCTTCAAAAAGTCTTCTGGTGGAGGGACCCAAGTGGTGGCAGGATGATTTGGGATTAGAGAGCTGCGGGGCGGAGGAGGAAGAAGAAGATTGGAGAATTCGAGGACCTGGATGTAGAACTGTCTGGCTAGGGAACGGACATGGGGTTGGATAAATTCGAAGGTCACTTTATTTCTAGACTTCTAGATTCTCCAAAGTAAACATACGCATTGGAGAATGTGGAATGGGGAGGTCTCGGAGACCATGACATGTCGCCACCATAGACTAAAGTTAACAGTCTGGCGGGTCTCAATAAAGTTGCTCAATCCCACTAAAGTCCACAATCTGGTGACTAGGGGGCATCTGAAGAATAAATGTTCAATGCTTTCTCGATGTCTCCAGCAGACAGGGCATCGGTTAAGACAGTTGACTCCACGAGTTTGAAGGGCCACTACTGTGGGAAGTACGACTTTGAGACAATGTTTAGTTTCTACAGTTCGGTGGTACAACAATTACCTCTAGCATCCTTTAAATTATATTGCTTTGACACTTAATTGAGTTAATGAGATAGAAATAGGTAGTATTTTAGTCACCTTCTCATAGCCAATTGGTTCCCAATTTTTGTTTTCAAAACAATTCTTCTCTAGTAGGATGAAAGAGACGCAATTCAGTAAAACAAGAAAACACAAACTATTAGGTTGAAAAATCAAACCTAATCAATGATGAACCTAATAAAGAACCACTGAAAATCTTAATTAAATCATCCAATTCCTACGAAGTTCCATAAACAAAGTACTAATAAATAATCAAACACCAAATTATTCATCTCCAAAACACCTACTAAACAATAAAAATCCACACATAAAATTCAAGTTATGCTCCAAAGTAAGGTTAGAGATGTGTTAGACTGTTAAGAAATTAGGGTTGGTTTAACTATGTGAAATTAATCTTTTAATTTTTTTTTTCACAATAACCATTAAGTCCTTTTGGTTGATTACATTACCGTAGTTATATTTTAAAATTATAAGACATAAGCAATGAGAGGGCGGATATGGGTATGGGTATGGGGCGGGGGCACTAAAATCCATCCCCGCCCCATCCCCACAAGATTCTTTGCGGGTATTACCCGTATCCGCCCCATAACCAGTAAATGCAGGGATTTCCCTCGTTGACTGGGTCGGATAGGGTCGGATACCCCCGGTTACGGCTATAATTGTCATCCCTAGTTTTTAGGTAGAATCACGTTTTTGACTGCATTGAGAGTACTAAATCCTACAACTTGCATTTAATACCAGGGTTGTCATTTTTCCAACCTCTTAGTGGGTAGCAAGCCAACCGATTCCGATAAATGTTTACTCTTTAGCCTTGAGTGGGAGAAGGTACCAACATAAACAAATTAACATTCCTTAATATTGGACAAATAAAATTGGACATTTTTCTCCATCCTTGAAATTAGATGAATAAACTTACAACAACAAAATAAATTGAATGTCTAACTGGGAAATGTGTATTGTTTAAATCAAATACTACAAAATCATTGATTCAATATTGGTTGTTTATTTGAGAAATTAAAATTACTTAGTTAGATATCATACATATATTAAGATACCACAAATATGTTCGTGAAAATGAATTGTGAAAACATAAATGACTTTCAAATTTAAAATAGTTTAACCATAATAAAGAAATACTTGATTAATTAGATATGATATGAAATTCACCCGGTTAATGGGAGGCCGGGGACAAAAACAAGTTTCTATAGAGTGAAATTAATGTGTTAGAACACAAGAAATCAATATAAAAGAAAATCTCATCATATTAAAAATATTTGACTTAATGAAAGAAACCTAATCATCATCAACTTGCAACCAAATAATATAATTACACTCATATTTTTAAAAAAATACTCCATGGATGCTTCAAATTTTATCATATATCTCCATCAATGAATATCAATAATTGAATTGCTCCATCCTTCCATATCAACGAGGGGACAAGAAATAAGAAGAATGCAATTCAATTATCACTTTACCACCCATATGTAAACTAAACTAATCAGAGGCAAGGCAACCATCACCGTGGCGTGGAGTGGGCTGCGCTTTCAAATGTGAACTAATTAACTCCCCCTCCCAACTTCCCCAATTCATTAATTCCCAATCAAATACAATAATAATGGCCTACTCATTTAATTATCTACACCCAACCTAACATGCCATAAAAATACAAACCAGAAAATTTAAAACAAAAAAAAATACAAACCGGTTCTTCCGAGAACAACCCGAACCGTCCAATTTAGAAATTGGATCTCCCGAGTCCCGGCCGTAAAAAAACTCAATCCTCACCGTCCGCACTGCAATCAAGAAAATCCGGCAAAAATTCCCTCCCTCTCCTTCTTTAGGACGACGTCGTTTCTCGCATCATGTTCTTGAACTCATCAAAGTCAAGCACGCCGTCGAGATTCGTATCGTACGGCGAAATCATCCGGCGGCAGTCCTTCCCGGTGGTCTCGTCCCACAGCCCCAATCTCGAGAGCACTTTCTGGAGCTCCTCGCTCGTTATGAATCCGTCGCCGTTTATGTCGAACACTCTGAACGCCTCCTCCAAATCCCTCTCCACCGCCGCCGCCACGGAAGCCCCCGACTCCCCGTCGCCGCCGCCGTCCTCGATGGAGCGGTAGAAGGCGAGGAACTCGTCGAAATCGAGGGTGGATTTGCCGACGGAGGACTCGAGCTCGTCGCTGGTGAAGTGGAGGGACGCTGATCCGATCCGGTCGAGGAGCCAGCCGAGCTCGTCGATGCTGAGGAGGCCGTCGCCGTTGCGGTCGAGCTGGTGGAAGATCCGGCGGAGGTCGGCGGCGTGGAGTCCCGGGGTCATGATTGGGCCGCGGCGGAAGGGATTGGTTGGAAGGTTGGGGCGTAATGGCGAGGAAAGTGTGGAGGGAGAATTAGAATGGCAATGGAAAGGAGAAGAAAGGAGCATAATTTCGGCCGTTTTGACGGAATTGCGGGGCTTTGATTGTTCTTAGAAGGATTGATTTCAGATTTATATAGGAATAAATATTTATACAGAGAGAGAATAGGGACAAATAGTACGTTACTACTGCCGTACCAGGACGGAATTTTATTTTTCCGGGGGTCGATGGAGCTCACACGAAGTTTCCTACGAGGAATACAACTAACTATCCAATCTTTGGTTAATTTAGGGCTTCGATATATATATTTTTTTGATAAGAGTGATATAGGTTTTATTTTGTTGTTATTAAGGTATTATTTAAGGGATTCGAATTTGGGACCTCCAAGTTTTAGGCTAGTGGTATTACTGCTAGGCCAAGTTCTAGGGCTTCGATATATTTCATTTAATTGATTTGAAACATAAAATAATTAAAATCAAAATTAGAAGTGTTAGAAGTAAATGAAGGGCAATTAAGTCATTTTACAATCTCTTTAGCGGTCACTTAATGGATAATTGGATGGAATGGTAAACTCGTTATGTTTTAATATTAGAAGGGTATGTTTGTGCAAAAATTTAGTAGAGAGCTACGTTTGTTAATTTTTTATCATAGTAGATGGTACAAAATGCTATTAACCCATGATAAAGTGCTCACTAACCTATGACGAGCTAAATCTACTCAATTCATTGATTACTTAATGTTAGGGGGTGAAAGCTTGACCCGGAAAACCCACTGACCCGTCCCGACCCGTAACGTACCAAAGGGCCGGGACGGGTCAGTTTGTCTACAGGGTTAGATTAGAGACGCGTCATTTGTTGACCCTTTAAGGGTCGGGACGGGTCGGGACAATTTAGGGACGGGTCACTTTTTGACCCTGTGACCCTTAGCAACAACAAATATCTCACACCACATTGGACCTTTTTGTAAAGTTTTAAAAGTTTAGATACTAACTTGTAAAAATAAAAAATTGTGGGTACCAAAGTAATTACCATCAAAATTTATGGACTTATTTGAAAAATAAATTTTAGGTACTAAATTGTAAGGAAAAAATAATTTTGGGTACCAAAACGTAATTTGTAAAAACGTAGTGTGTTTATTAGGGTCGACCTACCGACCCGGCCCGACCCGATCCGTCCCAACCCAAGAGGGTCAGACAGGGTCAAGAAGGAGACAGGGACAGGACGGGTCAGTTATACATCTTGACCCTTCAGGGACGGGTCAGACAGGATCAGGGACGGATCAGAGACAGGACAGTCAAATTTTCAGCCCTACTTAATGTTCTCCATTCTGAACAAAGTGATTTGGATGTCTGATTTTTCTTTTAAGATTCTAATTAACATGTCAACAAAATATGTCTACCTTATAAAAAGTAAATTTTTTGGTAAGTAAATGGTATATGATCTATAATCGAACGTCTCTGAACAAGTTGAATTATTGGAATCAACTGGTTCTTGACATAGTATTAGAGCCTTCTATGACTAGGAGGGCTTCTGTTCGAATCCAAGCGACCTCGTCTATAATGTTAAGCACATGGTGTCCGAACATCTGCAAACTTCAAGATATATATTAGTGACTTTCATTTGAGGGGGTGTGTGTTGATTCTTGAAAAATATATCATCTTATCCAATTTAAACCAACCCGTCTAAACCCAAGTCAAAAGTCTACTTTGAACTTAAAAACTGTTTGGGATTTGAATCTTAACATTGATATCATTGGAAGAGACATGGAGGATAGGTAAATACAGATAATTATTTGAACAATGTCGTTTCTCCCTCTTAAACTACATTAGGGTTGTTTACTTGTTCCCTTTACTTTGTTTGGTGACTAGTAATATAGAAACTTAGTGGAACCTAAATCAGAAGCCAATTCTTTAAACACCTAAATGTTGTTATGTAGTACTGCAAACAGGGAGACCAGATGGAATACCACTACAAAGTGTGCAACTCTATGAATTACTTTTGATCATGCTTTTGTCACATAATGGAGCAATAGTTATGTTATATGGTGATTATGCTTAGTTTCACCTCTTGCAATTTTTTGTTTCCATTTTTTCTAATTTTAAACCTATTGGCTTTCTGCTAGTGAGTAACGACTCACGAGCTCAAGGTCCGTGGCACATTCAGGATAGGGTAGAGCATTATGCCAAATTTGAAAAGAGGTGTGGAAGACTGGGCCGTAACCCTTCAAACACTGAAGCGAATACCTAAAATCGAAAATCTACAAGGGCTATACTATCTCCGGATCCGAGGAGGGCTGTGTTGTGGCCCGGGAGCGCCCCCCAGGTCAGAAGAAGTGTCTCATGTTATATTATATATTTGACACATCATATAGTATGGACTAGCTATTCATCGTTAGTCACTTCCACTCATTCTCTCTGCATTTAATGACTTTGACGGGCATGTAATGTTAATGAGAGTTAATTGCACCATATACCACGTAAGTATTGATTTCGTTGCATACTAACTATTTAAGTTTTTTTTTTTACTTGTAACTAAACCATATAAGTCGACTTCTGATTGCATCGTTATATTTTTCGTCCTTAAACTTAATGGTAGGTATCAAATTAAAGTTTTCCACCTTAATTTACACCATACCATTTTTCTTTCACTTTCTTCCTCTCCACAAAATAAATATTTTTTATAAAAATGGAGGATTAAATAAACCAATCACAATAGCCTTTTACATTGATTTTTGCTCTATAGTTGTCGATTCTCTTGTAAAATTAGTTATAGAGTTGAAGATGGGAGGACTTTGGCTGCGAACTGCAGCTCAAATATTCATTACAACACTTATACAACAATAATATGTACAAATTCATTTATAATAGATAAATTTAAACAATCAATAAGAGGGGCACTCAAAATACTTTCTCCAAAAGAAAAGCCTATACTAAGGTGTCAATTATGCAAAACATTTTATAAACGAAATGAAAAATAGAATAAGGACTATATTTCACATTCCACATAAGTTTAAAAAATTTGCTTTATTTGGAAGGAAGCCAAAGTTTAATTTAATTAGACCTAAAAAAATTTATAAAAAAATGAAAACAATAAAGGAGGAGATAAAGATAATTAAAGAGAGCGCTAGTAAACAGTTAAGCAGTTAGAGAATGAAGTTTTTACCCCAACATAATTTTTTTTTCCTGAGCACTTCTACTATTCTTTAAAATATTGGTGTTTTAAAGTATAATTTAAAGTTGTAACATAACGTTCAAAGTACAAATTGAAGTTGTACCATAAGAGAATTTGACTTTTATGTTATGGTGCAACTTGAAGTTGTAAAGTTGTACCATAGCATAAAAGTACAACTTTAGTTTGTATCATAAAGAGATTTTACAAAAAAGTATAGGTACAACCCCAAGTTGCACCATAACGTGAAAGGTACAACTTCAAGTTGTAACATAAAGGCAAAAACTAAAGGGTAATGACTATTTATTAGCCAAAGCATTTTCGGATCCTTTTTGATAAGCCAAACCTATAGAAATACTAAAAAGGAGCCAAACATTTTGTAATGTATAAAACTATTAGCCATTTTTACATTATCGTTAATAATTTTGTAACTCTTTCCTCAGTTAAAATACTAAAATTTTGGAATGTTAACCTCTATGTATCCCTTCCAAGTCAGTGTCATATTGCCAAATCAATATTACTAACAAAATTACTAATTAAAAGTTCACATTTGGCTAATTATTAGTAATTCAATAAGTTTGACTAATAAAAAAGAATCCAAAAAAATTTGACTAATAAATAATCATTACCCAAAACAAAAAATACCAATACTTTAAAATATTATAAAATTCTTCAATTTCCCTCTTGTTTTGGTTGGAACCAACGGTATACTTTTCAAGATGCATGTAGAAAAGACAGAAAGACTTCCACAACGACAACATAGATTTTTCCCCCATCGGAGGTCTGGAATCAGAGGAACTAACGGCATAATTTCATACACATATATACCACGGCTTTTTTAATGTTTTGTTTCTTCAAAGATTTAGCTTACTAACCTGTTATGTCACAGTCCAACTACTGCTGATAGACGTGGCATCGACCATGAATATAAAAGTGACAACGTGAGCGATATTAGTGACGATAAACATGTATATAATAATTAGACTAAGCCTAAAGCTATTGTGTGTGTGAAAAGAAGATTATGAAAATCTTTGGCGGTCGTCAACTTAATTAAACCATAGGGTTATAATTAATTAAGTCCAATCAAAGCGAGTTTCAGATTGCCCATTTGGTTGGGATTACTTAAATACATGGTACGTACCGGCGGGCTGACTCTACCTTCTGTTCACCGTTCAAATTTGGATTTCGGCCAACCCTGTGAATGTGATGTACAAGAACCCTAATGCACATTTGGACGTGTGCCACCACCCACCTTATACGGGTTTTTTAGGCTTGCAAGAGATTAGAGTAGGGTTATTAATGAACCAAGCCGGTCATGAACGGCTCGGCGTCCGATTCGAGAAAAACTCGTTCGAAACTCGATTCATCTTAATTGAGTCGGATCGCGAACAAGCTCATTAACTAAACGAGCCGAACTCGAGCCATACCATGTCCAGTTCGAAAGCTCGCGAACAAGCTCATTTAACGTATTGACATAAAAAAGGATTAGAATCCATGAATTTTATGAATTGAAATTGGGATAAATATTGTGTTTTATTTTGCTAGACTTTGTTACATGTTTGAATGCAATTTTACGCCCAGTTCTAGGTCAATCTTGAGCTATAATGATCATTTTATGAGTTTAACTCGATTTTGGGCTCGTTAATCTTATTTGACGAGCCGAGCTCGAGCTTGTATATTAAAGCTCGTAACGAACACGAGCCGAGCTCGAGTTTAGAAATATATTAACGAGTCGAGCCCGAACTAAGACAAAGCTCGGCTTGATTCGGATTATTAACAACCCTAGAATAGAGAGGTGATTCGATATGACCCCAGACAACTGGGAGCATCTATGTGGTCTAGGTAAGTAACAATCTGTCCCACTTCTCCTTGGGGGTTTCTAATTATCGCTCTAGATTTCACTATAATCGCCCTAACTTAAAACTTAAAATTACATTTAT